TTTATCCTCAATCTCGGCTTCAACAATGATCTGAAAAAGAAGAAATTTCAACTTCTTCCAATTTCATTCGGACTTGGCTTAGGCCTATTGTTCCAATTCTTTGCTTTTTTCTCACAAGCATTATATTCAACACATTCTGCTTCTTGATTCATTATTTCGAGGTCTGACAGTGTTTTAGGATTTGAGCATGAAGTCCGTAAGCATGTCATGTTATTAAAATCTGCATTAATAGAACTGAAAAAAGAATAAGAAAGTAGACAAGATTAAGAAAAGAGACATTCCTGGACAATAAAATATTAATTTCATTTGATTTTTTTTTAATTTTTAAAGATAGAAGGGTTTATATTAGAAAGTAAGACAATAAAAGTAAAACGCCCGGATTACACCCTAAAATAATCCGGATGCAGAAAGGATAGCAAGACTGGCTACCGAGATTCCCGTCTGATAGAGAATTTTTTAGGTTCGACACCCGTTTTTTGATTTCTCCTCTGCCAAGGCAATGGCTACTATGGCTTTCAATGCTGGATCAAATTACCCATCATCACAGATCATTCCAACTACTGGGCCAGTGTTGTGAGCAGGCAACGAATTATTCGTCACATTAGGGGTTTCTTCTTCCTTGAGAACTATTGACTTGACCTCAATGATGTCCTCCACTGCTCTTTTGAGAGTCCAACAATCTTCAGTATCATGTCCCACTGCTCCAGAGTGGTACTCACATCCAGTATCAGCTCGGTGCGAGGGGACTCGGGGTTTGGCCGGTTCGGGGCCACTGGCTGCAGCAGACCTAGCCCGATTAGCTTTTGAAACAAACTTGAATATGATTCACCAATAGGAGTGAACTGATTTCTTCTGAGGGGCTATCTTGGGCGAGGATTGTATTGGAGAACATTTGGTTGGGGATTATATGGAGCTTGGTAGGGACGGGCATTTCTGGGATGTGGAGCTCGATTTTGTGTATAATATTGTGGCCACGTGTAAGGTTGCGTGTTCATCACCGCATAGGGAGGTGGTGCCACGACATAGCCAGCATCTTGATGGGGATAATAGTGTTGTGGTACCATAGGAAGCATATATGATTGGTTGAATACCCTGCGAGCCCCTTCGAGCTCGAAGCCATCATGGCTCCCTCTTTTTCTCCAATTTCTATTTACCGAACCATTTTGAACGACTTGTGATCTGGCCTTAAAGGCAGCATGACTCAAAATTTGGCCCTTTTTAAAACCATTTTCGTTCATCTCCCCAATTTTGATAGCCTCAGCGAACGGCTTACCCATAGCGGACATCATGTTCTAGAAGTAGTCCGCCTCTTGGGCCTGTAGGAAAACCGTAACCATTTATGCTTCGTCCATTGGAGGCTTTACCCTGGCGGCTTGCTCGCGCCATTTGACAGCATGTCCACGGAAACTTTTTGCGGTTTTCTTTTTCAAATTGGACAAAAGTTCTCTTTTTGGATTTTTTCACTCTTGCTTTTCTCTTTTTTTTTTTGGTTGTTTTTCGCTATTTATTTTTCTCTATTATTTTAGTCACTCTTTTCTTTCTTTATTTATTTTTTCACTTAATTTTCTTTCTTTTTTTCACTCAGTTTATTTAGTGGCAATGATCGAATCCGATGAGGATTGCCTACGTATCATGACGCCGCATGAATCAAATCATTACGTAGTTCAGAAATATTGGGAACAAAGTACATAAGCTAGATCTTTTTTTGAATTTTTTTTCATTTGTTCTTAGGAAATTTTTGACAAAAAATACTTCTAAATAAAAAAGAAAATATTTTTGAATTTTAATATTTTTGCCTTTGAATTTCTAAAAGAACGACTTCTAAAGAAGAAAGAAAATATTTTGGATTTTGATTTGAATTTTTTTCTCTTTTTCATTTTTTTCGAATGAAAGACTTCGGAAAAGAAGGAAAATATTTTTGAATTTAATATTTTTTTTTAAAGAAAGAATTCGAAGAATGAAAAGGAAAATATGTTTTGGATTTTTTTTGAAAAAATGGGGGCCAGAACCGATGAGGTTTGCCTACGTATCTCACATCCGGTGAGAATCATACCCGCGTAGTTCGGTCCAAGACTTGATAGATTTTGACCATTTCTGGTTTTTTTCTTTTTTTTTCAAAATTGTTTTTTTTATAGTAAAAAAGAAGATTATTTGTACAAAAGTGCGGGAAAGAATTTTTTTTTTCCAATTCCGCTCAGCTAATTTTCTAAAATCAGTCAACAATGCAAACAAGCCTTCCAAATGATTCAGCAAGTAGCACATAAGTGAACAAGATGGTCTCAAAAGAATACGTGCTCTATACGGACCCGGCTCCTATGCCGAGTTTCGCTAAGTCAAATGCACATGATACAACAAAGCGATCCTACTAGAGATAACCAAGCATGTGGCTTGTTCTTCTAGGTTTTAAAAATCCTAAGGGATGAGATGTATCTAGACTGGCCATAAAACGAGTGGACAACTCGGATTGGGAAGGGGTAGCGTACCGGGAGCAATACTTCTCCGGCTTAACTACTGGAACCTCCCCGTTCTTAAACATGGGTGACTAATAATCCTTCCTCGAGAGCCCAGGCCCATCGGCTTTATCTCAAAGAAGAATGGGGCGCGTATCCACGATTCTCAGGGTTATATTCAGAAGACTCAAAGGGGGTGCGTGAGAAGACAGTTTATATATACAATTCAACAATATCAAAGCGGTAAAAAGTAGACAAGTAGCACATTAGGCCCAAATAAATCACAATATATACAAAAATTAATAAAGCCAAATAATGTCAATATACAAGCTCGAATTCTTGAATTTCCAGCAGAGTCGCCAGAGCTGTCACACCCCTTTTTTACCCCCAAAATGATATTATGTTATGGATTGTTGGGGGTTAAAGAGTTTTTCCAATTAAAGTGACAAACTTGAGTAGAGATTATTTTATTTACAGAGTCGCCACTTGAAATTGATTTTGGGTGTTCCAAGTCACCTTTTATTTGAATCCGTAGTCAAAGGAAGGTTTGACTCTATTATTAATTGGTCTTCACCGGTGACATAATTCTAGTTAAACTTGTTTAACAACTTAACTCTATACTTTTAGACAATTGATAGCTTAATTTAAAATAAAGATGGAACTACTAAAGCACATTTATTAACACATGAAGGACTAAATAACCAAACAGAGACATAACCTTGCATGAGCTTCCATTTCAATAAGAAATTGTCTTTTCCCTACGAACAATCACAACTCACTTATCAATTAGCAAATTTCATTATACCATTCATGGATGAACCTTTTTTTAAGAGAAGATGCTAATGAACTTTGATAAATATACAAAGGGAAAGCTCAAATTTTGGCAGCATGCTTAATAGAGAATAATTTCATTCATTCAAAACAACTCATATCATTAATCAAAACAAGATAAGAAGTGGACCTCAAAAGTTGAATCTGAAACTTAACGATTTTCCAGTTTTGAATCTTAAGCACATTCAGACCGCACGCAAGAACTCAAATGGAGCATCGAAACTCACCGGCGATCTCAACTAAAAAACCTCACTGTTTCGACTGGGTTTGGATGGTAGTTTCTGGTATTAAAAAAGTGGTTCTATGGAGATTTAAGGGTTATTTTTCAGGTCTTTTGGGGGATGTTTTTGCTGGATTACAGGGGCTGTTTTTCAGCACTTTTTCAGCTAAGTTTGGGGTAATTTTGGAGCTAGTTCGACGGAAAAGATAGTGGTAAAGCGCTAGTTGTTTTTGGTGAGTTTGTGGATGTTTTGTGTGGTTTTCTTTGGGAGAAAACTGATGGTTTTTGGCCGCCTTCTTAAGATGATCTGGAGCTGGTTTATGGACTGGTTTTTATTGATTTACAGGTGGGTTTAAGGTGGAAGAAGAGGATTTGGGGGCTGCTGCTATAGTGAAGAAGAAAGAGGCGCTAGGATTTTCTTCTATTGTCCTCTTTTTTTCAAGTGCTTTCTCTCATTTTTGTACTTTCTCCAGATCTATCCCTTCTTTCCTCCTCCCCTTTTTTGACTTTCCTACTCCAGTTTTTGACTTTTTGTTGTATGTTTTTGGGTGGAGATGAATATCCTTTTTTTGTGAAAATGAGGTATTGGTGAGAGTGTGAGTGGGAAAGTGGGAAATGAGTTATTGGTGAAATGAGTAGAAAAGAATTTCAAGCATGGTCAAAAATTAGGTGCTCATAAGCGGGTGTTTGCAAATACTATACTAATGAAGTTTGAATATAACACCTCCAAAGTGCATGATGGAAAGCTCTTCCACACCTTCTTTTGCTATATATAAATAATATTTCAGTATCTATAAATACTTATGGTCAAACAATATTTTCTAAATAATTTTCTCTCACAAAATGTGTTGAGATATATGTCTTCCTGTATTTGGGCTTACTTTGGCTAGGTTCATTTTTGTATTAGACATGTGATTAATTATTGTAATCGGGTACCAATTTATGTACGGGTTCTAACCTAACACTCTTATGACTTTGTATATAATGAGAATTGGCTCCACTTTGGAGCCTCAGTCGTTCATTTTCATATTTCTCTCTAGAATATTCTTCTCTCTCTTCCTTTGTCTTCTCTTTCATTTGTTACACATATTTCCGATCCTGAATCGATTCGAACATGGTATCAGAGCCATGAAAATAACGTAGCTTAGTTCATGCAATGATTTTCATGGTGAAGTTCATACGCTAATTTTCACGGAGAATTTCTATTAAAAAAACAAAACAAAATAAATCCTATTTTTTTGTCGATCTGGGTTTTCGTTTGGAGGATTTGTCTCCGATAATTAATTTTTTGGAGAATTCTTTTTGTTGTCTACTAATTGCGATAATTTTCTCCCGATTTGGTACTTTTTGCTGATTTCGATCCGGCGATTTGCTGAAATTTTCGTCTTTCTGGACTTTGCTACTGGATTTGCGGTGAAGCTTCATAAGATTTCTCTTTCATCTCTTCAATTAGTTATGTCTTTGTAATATTTATGAGTGTGTGATAAATTATCCTTACAATGGGGGATAATGACTATGCTAGCACTGATAATAAAGTCATAGACCACAGTAATGAAATTACTTTCCATCATTCACATCTATATTATCTCAGTCCCTCTGATAATCCGGGACTTATGTTAGTTGCTAAGCAATTTAATGGTACATGTTTTGGGTCCTGGAGGAGAGGGATTATAATTGCTCTGTTCGCAAAGAAGAGAATTAGATTCATAAATGGTAACTCCCCTCCACTTGCGCCCACCTCTCCTCTCCTTGATCAGTGGGAACAAGTTAACCACATGGTAATCATTTGGATCCTCAATTCTCTAGATCCCGAGATTGCACAAAGTGAGATATTCACAAAGACTGCAAAAGGAATTTGGGATGAACTAAATTAGAGGTACGGACAGTCAAATGGTGCTAGAATATATGAAGTTCAGAAGGACTTGGTTTCAGTCTCCCATGGTTCATCTGATGTGAGTGGTTACTTTAAGAAAGTGAAAAGATTTTGGGATGAGATGGAGTCATTGGATGCAGAGTCCTATTGTATTTGCGATTGTAATTGCGGGGGTAAACACAAAATGATGAAAAGGATGGAGAATCATAAACTAATGCAATTCCTCATAGGACTGAATGAGATCTTCAACAATGCCAGAAGAAATATTTTGATGATGCAATCTCTTCCTGGTGTGGGCAAAGCTTATTTATTGGTCATCCATGATGAAAAACAAATAGGCATTCATAATGCACCAACTTTTCAGACTGACTCCATTGCTTTCTCTATCAGTTAAAGTTCCATATCCAAATCAGCCTACAACAATGCAAACCAAAATCAGAAGTACACTTTCAACAATCAGACTCATAAAATAAATTTTGATCCCAAAAGGCTATTTTGCAGATACTGCCAGAACAATGGACATACTATAGATAAATGATTCAAATTGTATGGATTTTCACATAATTCTAAGTTCAACAACAAGAATGTGAGAGTTGCTGCTAATGTCATTACCACTCCAGAACCTAAAATGGAAGAGAATCCACATAACATGGCTACTTCAACCACCATAATCACAGAGCAGTATAAGCATTTGATGAACATTCTTCAGAATGTACAAGTCATTGATGGAGTTCATAACGGAGGAAAATCTTCTATTACTGCTAATGCTACTTGTGCAGGTATATCTGCTTCCTGATATATGAGTTGTGGTACTTGCACTTGTCTAAGTAGTATGCTAAGTTCTGATATCTGGATATTTGACTATGGTGCGATTGACCATATGACCTCCAATAAATAATTGCTTTCAAACTTAATCACTTTACCAACACCATGTCTTGTCTATTTACCAAATGGATATAAAGTGAATGTTTCTACTTTTGGATCTGTTCATTTAACTTCTTCCACCACTTCAACCAAAGTCCTGCTTGTGCCCTCTTTCAGCTATAACTTGATTTTTGTGAATAAATTTTTTTTCGATTTTTTTGATACTGATGTGCTTTTATCCTTCTCACGATATTGTTGTTTCCTCCAGGACCCTTCACTGAAGAAGCCATTGGTACTTGATAAGGTGGTTGAAGGGCTTTATCTCCTCCATCTCAAAGTAGACTCATTTTCTGATCCATCTCCTATGTCTTCCGATGTGTCTGTTCATTTTTCTTCTCATGTAAATACAATAAATGTGAATAAAACTCATGTTTTGTGGCATCACATACTAGGCCATCTTCCTTTCTCAAAATTGCAAAATATAGATGCTTTAAATATGCCTTCTTGTGATAAACAACATTTTCTTTGTAATACTTGTCCCCTTGCTAGACAACAAATAATTTCCTTTTCTACTAGACAATCTCATTCTTCTAATATTTTTTGATCTTGTTCATGTAGATGTATGGGGACCTTAAAACACTGCCACACAAAGATGCTACAAATATTTTCTAACTCCAGTAGATGACTGCAGCAGGAATACCTGAACACACTTACTCAGCAATAAGGGAAATGCCTTATCCATTATCAAATCATTATTTTCTATGGTTGAAACCCAATTTAATCTCAAAATTAAAGCTATTAGATCTGACAATGCTTTAGAGCTTGGAACCAGTCTTGAAGCCACCCAATGTTTTCAGTCCAAAGGTGTCTTGCACCAAACTTCTTGCCCTTATACACCCCAACAAATTGGGATTGATTAAAGAAAACATAATCATTTACTTGAAATAGCAAGGGCCTTATACCAATCAAAACTACCACTTCATTTTGGGGGGGGGATTGTATCCTTACTGCTACATATCTAATAAATAGATTTTCAAGCATTGTGCTTGGTGGAAAAACACCTTTTGAGATTCTTTTTTGGGCATAAACCTACTTATAATCATCTCAAAAGTTTTGGTTGTTTGTGCTATGCAATGATTCCTAAGCCTGACAGAAACAAGTTCTCTCCTAGATCCACCCCTTGCATTTTCCTTGCTTATCCTCCTGGAAAGAAGGCTTACAAGTTAATGCAACTTTCTGATAAGAAAATTATGATTTCTAGAGATGTTGTCTTTCAGGAGAACATCTTCTCATATTCTGAATCATCTTCGCAAAGCACTATTTTTCCTAAATGGTCTATTTCACCACCTTCTTCTCATATATTTCCTCCTTCTCCAGATAGTGGGATTCCTTTTCTTGGCTCCTTTGAAATTCCTTCACCTTCACCATCTCTTTCTTCTCCTCCTATTAATCATGACATTTCCTCTTCTCTTGCTGATACAGTTTCACCACTTCCATCTTTTTCACCTGTTAATTATGATATTTCATATTCCCCTGCTAATACAGTTTCATCACTTCCATCTTCTTCACCTGTTAACATAGTTATTTTACCCTTAGTGCCTAGATATCCTACAAGGGTTCATCAACCTCCTTCCTATCTGAAGGATAACCATTCTAGTTCTTCTCAATCAATATCTTCTCCAACCTTAACCTCCCTTTCCAATATTCCTAGGTCAGTATGTTTCAGCAGTCTGAGTTCCATTAATAAGAATTTAGTCAAACTCTTAGATATTGAAAATGAACCTTCAACTTATCAATAGGCAGCAGTGCACCCTGCTTGACAGGATGCTATGTTGCATGAGTTTGTTGCACTTGAGGCAAATCACACTTGAGAACTTGTGCCTTTTCCTCCTGCCAAGAAACCAATCAGTAATAAATGGGTATATAAGATTAAACATAGGGAAGATGGGAGTATTGAAAGGTTCAAGGCTAGATTAGTAGCGAGGGGGGATACACAACAAGAAAGAATTGACTACACTGAAACCTTTTTACCAGTTATTAAAATGACATCTATTAGAACTGTAATTGTTGTAGCTATAAAGAAAGGGTGGAAAATGTACCAACTTGATTTTAATAATGCTTTTTTGCATGGAAATTTAGACGAAGAGATACATATAAGAATACCTCAAGGCATGGTTGCCCCTGGTTCCAACATTGTCTGTAAGTTAAATAAATCCTTATATGGTTTGAAACAAGCTTTTAGGCAGTGGTACTCAAAATTAAGTGATTCTCTTGTGTCTATGGGTTATGAGATTTTCAAAAATGACTACTCTTTGTTTTTAAAGTCTGTTGGTACTTCTTTCACTGATGTGGCTGTGTATACTGACGATATTCTCTTGAGTGAAAATGATGATAAGGAAATAGCCTCCTTGATATTGTTCTTGGATACCAAATTCAAGATAAAGGATTTGGGACTTTTTCACTAATTTTTAGGACTGGAGATCCTGGCTGAACCTGGAGGTGTGATTATTTGCCAGAGAAAATTTGCTACTGACCTTTTGTCTGAATTTTGTTATTTGGACTGTAAACTTGTTACCAGTCCCCTGGATGTTACTTTCAAACTTCGAGTTCATGAAGGAGAGGCTTTATCTGATCCAACATTATACAGAAAATTGATAGGGAAGTTAAATTTCCTTACTAATACCAGACCTTATCTTGACTTTCCTGTCCAATATCTTAGACAGTTCATACATGCCCCTACTTCTGTTCATCTTTCTGCTGGGTTTTATATGTCTTCAGTATGTTAAGGGCACTTTGGGGCAAGGTCTTTTTATGGCACCAGATCCTTATTTTACTCTTCAAGCCTATTGTGACTCTAATTGAGCTTCTTGCCCTACTTCTCGAAGTTCTGTTAGTGGGTACTTGGTCCTATTTGGTGGCTATTTACTCACTTGAAAATCTAAGAAGCAGCACATAGTGGCCTGATCTTCTGCCACCTTATCTTCTGCTGTGGCAGAATATCACTCCATGCGGCGGGTGGTTGCAGAGTTAGCTGGCTCACTCGATTACTTCATGAATTGTCTGTTGTTTCTGTGGTACCTGTGCCTCTTCATTACAACAACCAATCTGCCATCTATATAGCAAAAAATCTTGTTTTCCATGAACGAACTAAATATATTGACTTGGATTGCCATTTTGTTCGTGAGAAGCTTCATGATGGCTTAATTTCTCTTTCGTTTGTTCCCAACAAGCTGGAACTAGCTGACATGTTAACAAGGCCCTTATCTGGAGTGACTCATCAGTTTATTTTAAGCAAGTTGGGTGTGGCTAACCACTCTCCAACTTGAGGGGGATGTTGAGATATATGCCTTCATGTATTAGGGCTTACTTTCGCTAGTTTCATTTTGTATTAGACATGTGATTAATTATTATAATCGGGTACCCATTTATGTACGGGTTCTAACCCAACACTCTTATGACTTTGTATATAATGAGAATTGGCTCCACTTTGGAGCCTCATTAGTTCATTTCCACATTTTTCTCGAGAACATTCTTCTCTCTCTTCCTCTGTCTTCTCTTTCATCTGTTACACATATTTTCGATCCTGAATTGATTCGAACAAAATTTCAACTTTTTGTCAATGTGAAATTCTGTCCAAAACTTTAACTTCGAGTTCTAATATTCCATTTTTCTTTAATTTCGACCAAATATTGTTCAAATGCCAACTTAAAATTGACACTAACCCTTACAAATATGACGAAGTTAGGAAGATATATCATAGTCATCCCTCCTTTAATTTTTTTTCCTTTTTGCGAAGTATAACTTTTTTTCATAGGTACTATCATTTGATGGTCGATTACGGCTTGTTGTATTATTTACTTAGACCTCAATGTGTGTCCCGGAATTATGGCACTAACTGTGCGATATAACATGAAACTTATAATTTAAAGATTACCGGAAAATCCATATGTAAACATGACGTTTTTAAGACGTGTCTTAAAAATAGCGTTATTGACTCTTATCGTATTTAGTAATCAATTCAAATAATAGAAACTAAAAATCATGGACAAACTTTGGAACAAGATGATTTTTTTCATTGCACTTTTCGTGTGAATGGAACTTTTTCAAACTGCGTTTGGTCGTAATGTCGTATCATTGACGTCACAATTTTTTATAATAGAAATAGTAGTATATAGAAATTGTATTCCACAGGAACATTTCTTACTTAGCTAATATTATCAATATGATTAATGTCAGTAATATGCCAAAATAACCAAAATGCGCGAATCGACTCTAATCAAATGAATTTTCTTGGAACCACCCAAGTTCTAAATTCAAATCTCTGAGTGTAAATTTTATTAATACTCAAAAATAACAGTACAAGTAAAATCAATTATTCCAAATATGATTCATGTTTTTTTTCTTCTTTTTATTATCTTTTATGAAATCGATAGTGCCATAAATTCTATAGGCGAGTTGGAATTTCTTTTGCTGGGATAATTGGCACTATTGTGCAATGTAGGCCATGAAGTGTTACTTAGGGATCGTTTGGTAGGATGCATTAGAGAAAAAAATGCATGCATTAACTTTTGGTATTATGAATCCCTTGTTTGATACACTCTTTCAACATATGTATTACTAATGCAAGTGTTAGTGATACAACATATTTGGTACTATCCTATGTATAATTAATACATAGCAAACCATGATATTAGCAATACCAAGGCTATTAACCATGCATTATTAATTGTTGCATTAATACTAATACACCTTATTCAACACTATTGTTATACACCTCACCAAACAACCCCTTAATGGTTAACCTTTTCAAACTAAGTAGAGCGGCAACCCCAATTTACATCCTAAAACATCATTCCTAAATTGTAGCCTAAAATTGTCTAGATGAAACAAGAAGAAGAATTACAACCGCGTAACCCAAAAAGTTCATTCTATAATGTGGCGTAACCCTAAGTCTACATTCTGAACTTAGGTGCTCTTTATTTTGCAATGGTTTTGGAGGTCAATGGTAATATTTACATTTGTTACAAAAAAATAAAAAAATAAAAAAAATCCAAGCTCATCAACTTTGGCCATAACTTTCTACTATTATTACACTTAGACGGATCTAGAATCCAAATAGGAAAGTACTTGAAACTGATTTAGCATCAGGTGTTGTCCCACTTTTCTCTGCTCATGACTCTGAGTCTTCATATACAGTGTTTACCCGAAAAATCAGATAACGTTAAATTTGTGTATGGTTCTAAGGATATGTGATATAATTTGACACAAATCGTATAGAGAAATAGAAATATGAGTGTTCCTGGCTATGAAAATGAAAATAGCGAGCAAAAGAATAAATATAAGAAGTGATCTTTTTGTTACAGTGTATTCTGCCCGCCATCCTACAAGGATCCCCCTCCATTTATAATAGAGAGATCCCACTTCATTTATAATAAAATAAAACGTACAATGGAGGACCCATGATAATTTGTCTCTTCCTTGATTCCCGCCAAGATTCCCTTTCTTAGTGCGATTGTAACAACTCTTGTCTATGAGTTCGATACTGGCTCGGACTCGTTATTGGGTCGAGCCCTCGGTTTTGGCTTGAGTTCGAACTCCGGGGTGGGCGTAGCGCATTTCTGACCTCGAAGCAATGCCTTGCGGATTGATTTGGTCACGGGCTCGATAAAAGTATCGAGCCTACTCCTCGATCAGCCTTCGGACTCGAAACTCGATTGTACTGCCTTCGGAACTCATCCCAAAATCCCACTCAGGTTGATTACCATTCGAACTCGATCGAACGTAGGAAGGCCGAAATCTATTTCGACCGTATACAGATAGTCCCCTCGTTTCTTAGGAAGGATGTGGTAAGAATCGATATGAGCTTCGACGGTTCGATCGGGTTATAAGCTGACGTTTTCACAGGGCTCGATCATGACGTATGTGAAAGCTGTCACGTCGATTTAGTCTTTTCAAGGTATTTAATGCGTGTCAGTCGGTAATCGGCCACCTTCGATATTGAACCGTCACGATGCAAGCCTATAAATAACCCCTCCATCTAACATTCACCACTTTTACATCTTTCATTCTTCCAAATTTCCTTACCCTTTCTCTCTATTCCGCCATTTGCAGAGCCATCTGTATCAATTTTCCATCTTCCTTTGCCTTTCTTTCTCTTATATCAATGGCCAAAACTTCGAAAACTGTACCTCAGAAGGAGAAAGCTTCTTCTTCACGGCCGCCCGGCAACAAGGCGCCGGTGGAGCCGCCTACCTATGAGTATGTTCCCGGCCCGTGTACTCTGAAGATCGATTTTAAGGTTGAGAATTCTTCATCTGTTCTGGGTCGATGCGAGCATGTGTCGATGTACATGTGCTCGATAACGGAGGGTCATCTCGAGGCTGTGAGAAAAGATTGCAACTGGAGTTCCGAGGTTGTGTTGCAAATTCCCTCCCCTGAAGAGAGCATCATCACCCATGTGGAGGGGTTTTTAAGTGTTTAAGGGGAGCGAGCAAGTATCAAATCGTGTATATACTTCTTTATGTGCATGAATAGCTTTCATATGCACACTAAATATTGTACCTTTTTTTCTGTGATGAAACCTCAGAAAAACATCTTTGCTTTCAATTAATTTTTATCCAGCATAACTAAGATTTAGCGGATAATAGTAAAACTACTTATGCAGGGGAGCATCTCTTTTGACATCGCACGTTCTAATAGAGATCATTGGGTCTCATGCATGTAATATTTCTAAGCATTTAGGAATTTAAACAGTCAAGCTATCGAAATGAAGAGTTAACTCAAAAAATATTAAGGCTTTACATATATCCATCAGAATAACACCAAATGCAATATTATTTAGTTAGTCTTCTCATATTGTTCACATTCATATGACATTATTATATTTACGAAGATTAACTCTACAATTTAAGTGATTCAAAGAATACAATAATGATAGGCAGATGGAGGGACGTAGAAAATATTATTTCTTTAATATTTTTATATTTAATAGGATTCTAATTTAATATTTTGCAGTGATTTTAAGTGTTCAATGGATAATACTTTTAGTTAAAGCATTTAAATGAAAAATGCAGACGATTTTAAGGGCCTATCTATGTAAAATAAAAGAAAAAGCAATCGGTTGGGGATAAAAATGGTTTGGCGAGGAAAATATGTGCTTTGAAAATGGTTGCCATAAAATGTAAAAGAAATTCCCTCCATTTCCTAGTCTCTCCATTTCTTCAAGTTTCTATTTGGATCGGAGACACTTGTCATGGTTAAAAATAAATGGATGAGATTTAATTGAATAAAATAAAGCCCTAACCATGATTAAAATATTTGATTCCTTATTTTATCCATTTTCAAATAATATCTTTTATCTCTTGAACTTCCTATAATTTCCCCCTTTTCGCGCCAAAATACATCTACCCTCAAGGCAACACCGAAAATTATGGTACCAGAGAAAATAGATTTTTACCATGGAAATCAAGTCCTTGAAGTTCATTGTTAGGTAAAAAATTAACAAAATAAATAACAAAAAGTGAAAAAACAGAGAACAAGATAGCAAGCCGTAGAACTTCATATTTTTGGAAATAACTAATCAGTTCTCGCCAGGTTCTTCTTTATTCATTTCGATTCCTTAGAAATTAGATACTTATTTGTGTGTTTCTTATTGTGGCAATGTCGAATAAAAAATTGTATATAATGTTGTAGACATTAAAAATTTGTCAAAATAGTGCATAAAGAAATAATATTTTTACTTTCCTATACACTATTTGTCCACTCTCTCTCTCTCTCTCTCTCTCTCTCTCTCTCTCTCTCTCTCTCTCTCTCTCTTGCATAGGTCAATCTGTGTACCATCTTCACTTGCACGTACTTGGTGGGAGACAACTGAAATGGCCCCCCGGTTAGAATCAAGCCTGGTTGCCTGCAAGCNTTCACTTCGCTTTAGTTAGTCATATGTCTCTCTCTCTCTCTTGCAAAGCCTAAAAACTCATAAGGAATATCAGTTTATGATTTGAAAAGACGAATACTCAAGGAAGTTAAAATTGCAAACTCTGAAGATTCACTTCGCTTTAGTTGGGCTATAACATCTGCAGAGACTTTAATCTCTCCTAATCCTCTGTAGAATTATAAATTTTGAAGGTGTTTGACTTTCCACCATTGACAGCCATTAAAAAGCTTTAAAGCTTTGAAATCAAATTTGGGTTTTCAAAAACCATTATTTGTTTGGATTGAGTGTTGTTGCAAATAATTGAAAATATTGTTTGGAGTTTATATCTCANGGCACATATCACAAATAAAATATATACAAATCAGATACAAAATATATACAAAAGACATATTG